TCCTTAGTGCCCTGCTGGGAGTCCTTTACTGCCACTCCTTTGTCTGTGAACAAGAACTGCTTTGGGTTAAAACTGCCCTGATCAGGCCTTTCTTTGAAGGGGAAGATGCCTTTAGCAGGGTGGCCTCCTGGTGTCCTATGGACTCAGAACCTCTTAGGCAGTGCTGGTATATGTGAATGGCAGGCTGGTGCAGCAAGATGGCTATTGCTGGTGCCTGCTACATGGGGCTGGCCCCCACTGCACAAGGGTCTGGAGAGAGTCATAGCAGATCTGTACTCAATCTAGCCAGGTGACTCCAGACTGCCGTTACTCAGAGTCCGTCACAGGATCTCCTGGGAGAGCTGGCCCCCCGTGCGCCTCTATGGAGGTCCGGAAGCACTGGTGAGAGCTGTCTCTATCACTTTCTACGTGATAGTCAACCACAGTCACCATACAAAATCCCAAAGCCCAGGTTCCCCTTGAGTTGGGCTACAGAAGTTCCAGAATAAGGAGGCCCTGGGCTGCCCAGTGAGGCACAGGAAGCAAAGACAGCCATCTTTATAGTCTGCTCAGACTTTCTAGCTTTCTTGACCACTGGCTGCGTGGCTTCTTATCACTGTGGGCCCCTGACAACTGGTGCCTGCTCCAAGAAGCTTGCCTAGCCCATCTGTCTGTCTAACATCCTCTGCCCAGCTCTGTGAAGGCTACTGGGAGTGCAACATCTAACAGCCTGTCATCTTCATTTGTGTGGAACTTGAGGTCTCACTGAGGAGAAGGACACAGCAAATGTGGCCTGGTTATGGCTGATACCCCACATAGGTCTATCCCAGCCAGCCATAGGCTTCCTTTCTGTAGGTTATAGCAGGATGGAATTTTCTAACACACCTGCATTGCTTCCTCATGGTACTACCTCAGGCCTCAAGGCCCTGCTCTATGATTGAGTGCGGGGTATGTGTGAGACCTTTGGCACACAGGTTAGAGCACATGCAAGGACTCAGGTTGGGAAGATTCACACTGTCAGCGAAGCAGAGGCATGTGAGTATTAAGGAACCTTAAAAAACAGCAGGGGGGTGACTTCTGAATTTCCAGATACTGACTCCACAGCTGTAGCACTCTGAGGTCAACCTGTCTATAACTTACGTAGCTCCTTATGGCAGATGTGTTTGCATGCATGTGTACATATACAAACTGAGTCCACATGTCTACACATACACAGTTTGTTCCGCTGAACTGGCCAGTGCTAACTGACCTTCCTGAGCACCTATTATGTGCCATGGGCTATGGTAGAAGCCTTCCATGCACTGCCTTATTACCTCTACAGTAGTTGGAATGGGGAAGGCACAGGGAGCATCAGTCACTTGCCCAAGACCATAGGACTAACAGAAGTGGGCAGCATGAATTCTAACCCAGACAGCAGTCTGACCAGAGCCCAGCTTGGAACCACCAGTGTTTTTGTGCATGTGAGCATTCAAGTATATGTGTGCTCTGTGTGCTTATATGTAGGGGAGGCAGGGGGAGCAGAGAACAGAGGGGTGTTTACAAGGGGACTCCTCACTACCTTGCTCAGACTGTGTACAGGCAAGGGAAGTGATATCAAGTCCACAGACCAGGGCCTTGAAGCCAACCTGGAAATTCCAGTGCTAGGAGAGTTGGATAGGTGCCCTGGATCTGATGGTTTAAAATGCTTTCTACTCAAGTGGAGCCCAGCCGAGATGTGCTGTCTTGAAAACTTATTAAAAGCCAGGTGTGGTGGTACATACTTGTAATTGCAGCACTTGGGAAGCAGAGCAGGAGGATAGTGAGTTCAGGGCCTTTTTGGACCACACAATGAGATTCTTCTCAAAAAGAGGAAGAAGAGGCAGAGGAGGAGGAAGAAAATTTGGTGCAAGGCAAAGTCTGTTTCCTGAGATTTCATGAAACAAGCCAGATGTTTTCTGGATCTTCCCTTTCCTGTGTCTGGCCTGTCATCCCTCAGCCTGCTGTTCAGTATGAGGGCCTCACAGACGCTTTACCCCAAACACCCCAACCACATAGTCCCCCGTGGAGGAAGTAGGCTGCTCTATCTTGCAGCAGGGATGGAAATGGAGAGAACTCTCGAAGAGGCCTTGGAGTGGGGCACTCAGCAGTAGCAGCTCTCCAGAGGTGCCCAGGAGCTGCACTTGGTGACCCTGTGCCACAGTAGCCTCCTTTCAGCCTTTGATGCTCAGTCTCTAGTCTTGGCTTCTCTCTGTCTCTGTCTCTGTCTCTGTCTCTGTCTGTCTCTCTCTCTCTCTCTCTCTGTCTCTCTCTGTCTCTCTCTCAGAATTTGGGAGATTCAAAGCAGTCCTGTGTACTTCATTACACGTGGCTTCTCCTCTCTCCAGCGTAGACAATGTCTTGTACTCTAAATGGATCTGGTGCAAGAGCAGCTTAAAACCCTCTCCTGCCTTCCAGCCCACAACTGAACCAAAAGCCTTAGCGAATCATTGCCCGCTAAGCCTTTGAGCTTAGGAGTCAGACCACTGGAGTTCAATGCCCCAAATTCTGGATTTATGATGAGCTCTGTGTTTGAATCTTTTAAGTTCTCTTTCTTTTGGCCTCATGATAGTGGCTGGCCATTTTTGAGTGCCTTCTGTGCGCCAGACATGGCACTAAGCACTTTCCATGTGTTACCTCCTGAGAGCCTCACAACTGCCTCGGCAGGTAGGTGTATTTATCTTACTTACAGTCCAGAAGGAGAAATATAGGTAAAGGCAGGCTAAGTCACACTTGCCCAAGATCACCCAGTCCATGAATGGCTGGTATCAGCTAGATACTTAACCCTCTGAGCCTTGATTTCCTTACCTGTAAGTAACATGTATGATTACCGTCTACTTGGGTTACTGTAGGGATTAATGATGAAGCAATGCCAGATGGTTCCAGTGCCCAAAGACTTACTATACTCTGATTCACTAGCAGAGGGATGTACTTGTATGAACATGTAGTAAGCAGCAACTATCAAAGCCACTCGATAATAGTGCAAATCTTAAACCCAACTGGAGAAGAGAGAAAATAAAATCACTACAGCACCAGTCACAGAAGTGATCAAATAATTAAATCATTAGCTCCTGAATGCTTGTCTTTCCTGAGTCCACACAAGCTCCTGGAAGCAGATTTTATTTTTCTTGTCTTACTATGTAGCCCTGACTGACCTGGAACTTGCTATGTAGATCAGGCTGACCTCGAACTCACAGAGATCCACCTGCCTTTGCCTGCTGAGCACTGGAACTAAAGCATGCACTGCCACACCTGGCTAGAAGGCAAATTTTATTGACCTTGTTCATTCCTGCTTCCTGATACTTTACACACTTTAACATAAGGTGGGTGTTTGGTTAAGTTTGTTGAATGAGGGAGAGACTGCTTTGGGAGTCCTAAGGGCTAATCACAGCTGGCCAGCATCCTTCCAGGTAGACCTCGTTCCCCTCTGCCTTGTGGCTATGCTCTGAGTGTACTTAACTCATGCCCTAGTAGAGGAGGAACTTCCCAAGCATGGTCATGGCTGAGTGTTGTCTAATGCTATCTTCCCTATGGGGAAGATGCTCAGAGCCCGAGAGCAGAGCTGAGCCTCCTATGGTCTACCCTGGGCACAAAGGGTCTTCTTCTTGGGTAGGAAAATGGCAAGTGATGGAGATGGCTAGAGACATAGGGGATATGAGTCAGTCCATGGGCAGCCCTGTACTCTCAGTGTCTTGGGTGCTCTAGCATAGGGTCTTGGATTATGGTGATCACCTGGGTTTATAGGTCTCCCTTACCATCATACAGCTGAACACTGTTTTAAATGGCAAGGAGCTGCTAGCCCTCTGTGCCCCTTTCACTGAGAAAAGTTCCCATCCTTGGTTTGCCTGGGTCCTTAACTTTCCCTGTTTAGGGAAAATCAGCCCCCATTGGTATCAAACTCACCTTGAGTGAGACAACTGCTGAGTCGTCTTCTAACTCAACTTTCCATTCCAACCACAGAATTAGTTCTGAAAGAGTTATTGTGCTGGGAAACCACTTTCCCTCAAGACCTTTGCTTTCTGGTCAACCAAGGCCTTGGTCCAGAAGTAACAGACAATGGTAGAAAATGATAAAGGGTTAGAAAAGCGGGAGGAGGATGAGGAGGAGGAGGGGGAGGAGGAGGGTCGTGGCCTTAGGGAGGGCCCTCCATCTTTGCAGTCACGGGGGAGTCATCATCCACGCTGGGTCACTCATGCTCCTACCCATAATCCCTCACCCACTGCTCTATAACTCAGTTTCCCCAGAGTGAACTCTGTTGGAATCGTACCCTCCCCTAAGGCACCTCAGTTTATCGCTGGGACGGAGGAGGAGGAGGAGGAGGAGGAGGAGGCAGATGGGTAACAACAAGATTCCAAATAGGCCTTCCTGTGCTGGAACCTTGAGCCCTGCTTGCAGCTTTCCCAGAAGCCCTCACCTTCCCAATTTCCTCCTATACCTCTTCTAGGTTTCCCACCCCTGGCTTTGCAAGACAACACAGCAAGCATGTGACCTATCTGGGCATCAGGGAATCCTACTGGGTATGCCAGCTTAATGAAATACTTTCAGTTTATTAAACACAGGCTTCCCTAATCCCCAAGTGCCTGTATTTAAAAGCTGAAGGTAACTCCAAGGTACCACAAACGTAATTTCTACATGTGTTCATGCATTCCTGGTGCAACCCTAAGCTTCTGCTCTTAAGCAGCACATGAAATGAGCAACATAAAGCAACTCCTAGTTAGACAAGGGAGGAAGTTTGGGGACGTACTGGGAGAGGCTCCCCAGAACCCCCTCAGGGCCTCTAAACGTATACGAAGTTCCCATTATCCGGAGCCATGGAGGGCACGTCTCCAACCCTGGGCTGCTCCAAGTTTGCAGAATCAGTTCATTGTGAGTGAGGCCTTGTGCCTTAACCTTGTATGTCAGCCTTGCTCTGATGCAGCTCAAATACTTCAAGCCCTGTTTCAGCAAGACTTGCTCTCAGTAGAAGGGCTGGCAGAGTGCAGTGTCTAGGGATTCCCTCTGGAGCTTTATTTCTGGTCCTCCTCCAGGGCTTGGCTGGAGACAGCTGTCTGAGTCTGGGAGGAGCCATGGAGAGACCCCAGGAGACCAGGAGTCAGCTCCCCCAAAGCCTGGGGAGGCTCTTCCTCAAAGATGTTTTCCCATTCGTCAGTCTCCTCAGCCTTGGGTCTGTAAATCAGGGGCGAGGGGCTAAAATGGAAGGAGCAGACAAAGGCTTCAAGGGAGGCACCCCCCTCTATGTGGACTGCCATCTGGATGCCAGAGAAGGAGATCCTGTTGGTGGTGCTCAGGGGGGCCTGCTCCAGGTATCTCAGTGGCAGCCCATTGACCCACACACAGCTCTTGCGACTCAGGACCTTGAGGCAGAAGGCTAGCAGAGTGTGACCTTTCTCCAGGTAGGGCTCCAGGGATAGATGGTGGCGGGAGAGCTGGGGCAGCTGCAGCCGAAGGTGGGCATCCTGTCCCCGCCCAACCAGCAGCCGGCTGATGTCATGCTGCAGTTGTCGTGGGACATTGGCAAAGGCGGCAGAGCCCAGTGTGGGATGGTACAGGCTCACCTGCAGGACTGTGAGGCTCCTCTCCATGGATGAGATCCTGGGAAGGATGGAGCAATCACACACCTCTGTGACTTTTCTGAGCCCAGACAACCTGTGCACCTTGAGGTCCTGAGACCACATCTAGCCAATGAGGACAATGCTTGCATGGATATAGTCATTCTGCCCAAACCAGGATGGAGTCAAGGCTGGCACTGGTGTGGAACTGGTTCTCATTTTATCTTTACCTCTCCATACTCTACAGGACACACCACCCATCCTCTCTGAATTGTACTTTTCTGTAACAGGAGTGTGTCCATCCTTCTAGGCAAAGGCTAAATCATACCAGTTTTCAGGGTGGAGCTTGATAGTCTACAGCCCATTTGGAGACAATTTATAGTAACTTTATAGCAACGGAAGGGCAGACAAGACAGGCTATACCTATCTTGTTTCTGGCAGACATGCAACAAACCCTTGCAGAGTCCCCATTTGGGTCAGCTGTTAATCCAGCTGCTGTGATAAAGCAGACAGAGCCAAACCTTTTCTCTTGGAAGCACCACTCTTAGGGGGAAGGAGATGGTACACCCAAATGTCGAGCTATGGATGGACACAAAAGGGTCCTGGGTATCAGCGGGGCAGCCTGGATATCCCAAAGGAAGATAAAAACAGACTTTTTAAGTGCTTCCTGCAGGCCAGGCACTGTGCTCAGAGCTTTCTCCTGCTGAACACCGGAGCAGAAGGCAGGTCTGGTGGAGAAGGTGGACTGTGAACTGGCTCACAGAAGAACCCATAGTGGCTCTGGGGAATTGTCCCATAACTCCACCTCCAGGAGCTTGTCCTTCAGCATCTCACTGACATACACAGGAAGGTCCTTTCCTGTGATCTGCTTTGTTCCTGTATGGATTTAAGGAACACAAACTCTGCCATCTACACACCCCATGTGGCCCAGGATTTCCCCCCACGTTTAGCAGGAACCATGGCCAAGTGGTGCTCAATGGTAATTATCTAGTACCTGGCTTTGGCCCACATTTTTTTTGGTGAAGAATGCTTATTCCATCCTAAATTTAGTGCAAATATTGCTTACCTGTCAAAACCAGGTTCAAATGCTTCCTCCCTGGGAAAGGCAGCCTTATTTCTGTCCTTTAACATTAACAGCAGGGGCACCTGACGAACCCCTCCCCCTGTTCCAGGGTTCTGTAGGTCCTTGCCTGGTCTTGGTTGAGTTCCTCTCTTGTCTCTCTAAGGTCTTCCATGGGTAGGGTATGACCCACAGTTCAGTGCAGGTAGCACCTGACCATAGCAAGTATCTGAGGGCACATCTGCCAGGAGCTAAGTAAGGAAGCATCCATACCCAATGAACGAAGTCTCAAGTAACCACAAACAGAGCTTGGTTCTTAAAGGTTGTGGGAAAGGGAATCTGGGCCAGGTCCCGAACCTTTGGCCCTGTTGCTTTTTGAATGTGGTATATCAGTGGGGACCTTCAAGTTTGACACTAGAGCCTAGGTCCTTTGGGGTGCCCCTTTTCCTTAGTACACAGACACTCACACACCTTCGGTCACTGCCTTCTGACCCCACAGAGCACCTCTTCCTGAGGTGGGGTGCAGGCTGAGCCCAGGACTGAGGGCTGGGTCCTGTGCCCTCAGTCCTGGACAGAGTTCAGAGTTCACTCCTAGAAATCAATGTTACGGCCCAAAGATGTTGAAAGAATCCCTCAGAAAAAAAAAAGAGCCTGACAGAAGCCACCCATCAGAGTGGAGCCCCTGCAGAGGCTGACTCGTGTCCAGCTGATCTAGGGGAACAGAAACTCACCCCTCTTAATATCCCTAGGGCTGAACAACAGGAAGATACTCAGAGGGGGTGACTCTGGCCAGGAGCCGTCCTCCCAGTCCCACCAGGCCTCCTGCCTCCCTGTGGGCTCCAGTCTTGCTGAACCTCCACCTACCTTGACTGCCGGGACACATCTGACATTAACTCTGGAGCTGTGTACTCTTTCCAGGGAGGAGCCCTAGGCTGGTGCAAGACCTAGGAGGGCTCTTACATAGTTCAGAAATACAATGTGTCAGACAGAACACACTTCAGTTCTGTTTCTTTCTTCCTTTTTCCCTCTAGGAAAGAAATGAAAGTGGCCCTTTCTCAGGAAGTGGAACCTCTTGAGAGTTGTGAAACTCCAGTCTGGCACCCTGTGTAGGAGGGGCCTCCTGACAGTAGGGTTCCCCACCAGGTCTCAGTGCTACCAGCCTCTGATTGCCCAGCCCCAGGGACCACAGGCTATTGACAAACTTCCTCTTCCCTCATTGGGCAAGGAGCTCCCAGATTGTGAGGGACTCCTTTCATCCAGTCAAGGACTGATCAAAGAAGCTATAGGCAATAGGGTGGTCTCCAGGGTATTTTAGGAGAGACTGAGACACAGGGGATGGGGAGAGGATGGCTACTCATGGGAGGAGGCCTCTCATGAAGGGCATGGAGAAGGTAACCTCTCACATACCCACTTCTGCCTCTGCTGGGGTGAGAGCAAGTAGGAAGAGGACAGGGTGGAGCCTGCCTAGTATAGTGGACTCTAACTGAATGTTGTGAGAGAGCTAACCCCTCACATGACCACCAATGTGTTCACATCATTTTCATGTCCCCCACCCTGTCAAGGTGACATAAGTCATATCTCTATCTCTTTTGAGGCCATGGGAGGCCCAAGCTCCAGAGCAAGCCAGCGGCACAGCTTTTCTCTTTCTGCCATCAAATCCTGGCCATCGTGGGGCTTCTCAGAGAGCTCCTAGGTGGGGCACAGGCCAGGGCACCCCTGCTATGCAGTAGGTACCTTCCTGATCTGCCTAACTGTCCCCAGGCCCAGCGCTTACTCCCTTCCTGGGGTGAGCCTTGTGGCCCCAGCTGTGGCCCTCAGGGGGCAGCTGTGTGGAGCCCTAGCCTTCTTCTAGTCTAAATATTTAGATCTTCCCTTAACTTTAGTTGGTTGCTTAGTAACTAAGATGGAAAAGCAGAGGACATTAATTATCCTCAGCAAGCCTGTCTCCCCTAGGCAATGCAATATCACCCCTGGGATGCCCAGGACACCAGTTTCCCCAGAGGTGGGAAAATGTATCTTCTCGTGAAGTGAACCAGGCTCCTTGAGTAGGGTCTGTCCTCTCCTTTGCCTCCCTGTGCCCCAGCATACACAGAGCTATGCCAGATGTGCTTGGGAGGTCTGGTCTCAGGAAGGGTGTGTTCAGACTCACACCAAGGTGTCATTGGGAGCTCAGGGAGCCTTGGGTATCAACAATTGTTACCACAGAAGGATGGTTGCAGGGGAGGGGCTCTAGGAGGCTAGATTAGAAAGGCTGGTTGCCTAGCAGTTAAAAGTCTGGACTTTAGTGTCAGTCAAGTTTTATTCAAATTCTATCTTGTAGTAACTGCCTCATCCTTAGTAAGTCCTTTCACCTCTCAAGGCCTTGGGTTTCCTACCTGTGAAATTAGAACAGTGAGTTCTGTTTCAGAGGACTGTTGTGAACATTCAGAAAAACAAAGAGCTTTGAAGTCCTTGGGTATAGTGTCTGGCCAGAGCAGACAATAGGAGCCAGCCTAAATGATTTGTGGAGGTTTCAGCTACCACATGGGTGTTAACAGACTAACCATCCCATGAAGAAAACTATGAAAGTCGGGCTTTTAAAAATCAGCTTAAAGCCTAGAGAGCAATAAACAGCCAGGACTTGAGGTCAAGACCTGGGTGAGAAGGAAAGCCTATTCACTCAAGCCAGATATGCTCCCCCTCTGCCCTGGGAGACATTTGCTAACCAGCAAAAGCAATATGTAGAAAGTGGCAGTTGAGAATTCTCAAATCTCACAGGTCTGGAGAGACACAGCCTGGACTCAGGACCCAAGATACCAAGGGCCAAGGTAAAAAGAGTCACAGCACAGAGAGTCAGCACATCATCCTGCAAGTCACCTTCAGATCTCAAAGCTGGCAGAGTAAGGGGTGTGACACCAAGTAAAAGTTAGAGCTAAAAATATAAGAAGCCAGGTAGAGCCTTGGACTGTCTCAGTACTGGAGGGCCCGGCTAAATGCCAGGCTTTCCATTGAGACCCATAGGGTACACATAGATCTAAGGATAAATCAAAATCAATCAGGCCTAAGAAGATAGAAACCTAGCCTCAGACAATTTCTATCCCTCAGATTTCTTCCAGAAGACCTTTGTTCTGGGGTTAGAGAGATAGATCAGCTGTTAAGAGTGCTGGCCATTCTTGCAGAAGACTGGAGATTGGTCCCCTGAACCTGTCAGGTTGCTCACAACTGCCTGTAACTCCAGCTCCAGTGGGCCTAGTACCTTCTTCTGACCTCCACAGACACCTGCATGCATGCACGCATACACACACACACACACACACACACACACACACACACTCTTGAAAGAAGAAAATTACTCAACAAAGTCAGTATAAAGGGCCCTTACAATGTTTCACTAATAATACTACACAATTAAAAAGCTATGAGGGGGCCTTATGGAGAGATGGCTCAGCAGTTAAGTGCACTGGCTTCTCTTGCAGAGGACCTAGGTTTGGTTCCCAGCACCCACATGGTAGCAACATCCATCTATGATTCCAGTTCTAGGGGATCTGGTGCCCTCTTCTGGTCTCTGTGGGTGCTGCATGCATGAACTTATACACATGCAGGTAAATCAAATTTAAAAAATAATAATTTTTTAAGTTATCAGGAATTCTGAGATATAAGGCCTACTATGTAGAAAAAGCCTAGAGGAAAAAAGGAACAAAGGAAGCCACTTGATCGTGTATGGGCACAAAAAGACCTACACAAATGTTTATAGTAGTTTAATAGCCAAGAATGGGGAACTGGACATAATGTCGTTAACAGGAACAATGGTAAGTAAATTATATAATATGTATCTAATAAAATGTTACAATAAATAAGTTTTAAATGAATCTCAAGAACATTATATGGAGATAAGATACTAGGCACGAGAAGTCTAGACGGTATGTGTACCTGAAGTGCAGGAACAGGAAGAGTAACTCACACCAGAGGTCCAAAGTCAGAATACTGGACCATCTCTGCAGTGAGTGGTCAGCTGGCGCACCATTTTTTCAGCATAGTTATTAACAAAGTACCACAAACTGTGTGTCTTAAACAACAGAAATTTATTGCCTCATATTTCTGGAGACTAGTAATCCCAGACCAAGCAGATGCTGTGAGAGAGAACTTTCTCCATACCCTTTCTGTAGCTTCTGGTGGTCCATCTTTGCATCCTATGGCACGTAGAGGCTTCACCCTCATCCCTACCTCCACATGCATGTAGATGTTCTCCATGCATGTCTGTTCCCAAAGTTCCCTTTTATGAGAACAGCTATCCTGGATTAGGGCCCACCTTAATGACTTCATTGTAATTTGATTACTTCTGTAATAATCTTATCCCCAAATAAGGCCACATTCTGAGAAACTGGGGTGTCTTCAATAAACAAGCTTAGGGAGGACATACTTCAACCATAACAACTGGAAAACAGCTTGAAATTTCCAGAAATGTTGAAAGTGCAGTGGTGACATAGTGTATACAGATAGACAAAAATAAAGACTCATTATTGTCAACTTTTGATTTTCCATTTTGTGCTTTAGAAATTATACAAAATAGACTCAGTGGGTAAGATGGCTTGTTGTGAAAGTAAGAGTCCTGAGTTCAAATCTCTAGCGCCCACATAAAAACTGGCATGGCATTGCAGGCCTATCATCCCAGCACTGAGTGGCAGAGCCAGGTAGATCCCAGGAGTTCACTGGCCAGTCAGCTTAGCTGAAGCAGCAAGCTTCAGATTCAGTGAAAGACTCTGTCTCAAAAACACTGAGGCAGAGAGCAGCAGAGAAAGACACCAGACGTCCTCGTCTGGTCTCTGCATGTATGCACATACACGCACTGCACATACATGTGCAAATCACACACAAAGAAAGGTCATAAAATAATTTCATTGCGCCCCCCAATACTCTCTGTTCCACTTATTCATCCTTCCATTCCTCCTGTCCTACTAAGTTTTTTTGCCATTCTCATAGGTCTGTCCTTTTCCAAAAGCATCATGTAGTTGGAATCACACCGTGTGCACCTTTCCAGGTGGGTTTCTTCCACTTAGTAACTTCATTTGCAGTTTCCCTGTAAAGCACTGAAAACTGTTCCATGGACCACAGTGTATTTATCCAATTATTTATCTAACTAGTCATGTATAGAAGGACATTTTGGTTGTTTCCAAGGTCTTGAGAACTATAAATAAAGCTGCTTTAAACACCTGTGTGCAGGTTTTTGTGTAGACAAAAGTCTACACAACACTTTCGGGTAAATATCAAAGATCAGGATTGGTGGTAACATGGCAAGACAATGCTTAGTTTTGTAAGACACTTCCAAGTTGTCTTCCAAAGTAGACATACTATTTTTGTATTCCTACCAAAAATGAGAAAGAATCTCTTGTGCTCTGTATCCTTGCCAGCATTTCGTATCTTCCAAGTTTGGATTTCTATCATCCATATAGGTGTATAGTGAGATCTCATTGTTATTTTAAATTTCAGTACCCCAAAGACATGAGCTGTTGATCTTTAAATATGCTTATTTGCTATCTTTATAAGCTCTTTGGGGAGGTGTCTTATCTTTAATCTATTGTTTTAGATCCAGTTGTTTGTTTTCTTATTGTTGGGTTTTGTATATAACTGTCCTTTGTATGTTTTTCAGAAATAATTTGTCCCAGCCTGTGGCTCGTTTTCTTGTCTTATTGCCAACGTCTTATGCAGAGCAGAGTTTTAAAACTTCAGTGAAGTCCGGCTTGCTGACCATGTCTTTTAGAGACTCAAGATTTTGATGTTGTGTCTAAAAATAATCATCACTAAAGGTGAGGTCATTTAAATTTTCTCTGATATTAGCTGGATGTGATGGCGTACACCTTTAATTCCAGCACTGAGGAAGTAGAGGCAGGTGGATCTCTGTGAGTTCAAGGCCAGCCTGGT